CCGGGGACCCCCGCTGAATTTGGATATTATTTGTAGTGGGAATGTCAATTAACCTTTCACCTCACATGAAATGCTATACTAGAGGCCTCGGAGTGGCACCCCAGCCAATCAGCAGCTGGTTCTGACCCTGGGAGCTAAACGGCGCTGGATTAACTGTTGATTGTTAATTTTGCTGAATCTGGCGATGGATTTGGCGACATTGAACGCGTTATGTACCTCAAAAAAAGGAAAGATTGTAAAAATATACAGTGTGCAATAAATAAAAACAAACATTACTAATAAAACATGTCGCCGTGGTTATATTCTGAATAAAATATCCTCCTGAACTGAAACGTATTCTTCTTTTATTCATCTAAAAAATATTCTAATAAACCTGTCTATTCAAGGTATAAATAGCCGAACTGGAAACATTCTCCAAGCCAGCTATGCTTTTAATTTGGCTACTATAATGTTCACTTTATGCATAACCCTGTTAAACCCTGCTGGCTAAAAATCTGCTGTCATTCTAGAGAAAAATTAATAATACGATTGCTAAAATAAAGTCTGTAAACATTTCACTTTAATGACTATAATGATGCTGACAAACAACTGGTGATGGTTATTTTCTAACATTGTGACACATTAGCGAGAAGTTATTTTTTGTTTTTTTGTTGCCAAATCCTCATGTTTTTCCAGATTTTTTTTTTTCTAATTGATCAGCATTTTTGTTAACAGTTTAAAGCATTACTCTTAAAGGACCACTATAGTGCCAAGAAAACATACTGGTTTTCCTGACACTATAGTGCCCTGAGGGTGCCCCCACCCTCAGGGTCCCCCTCCCGCCGGGCTCTGGAAGGGGGAAAGGGGCAAAAACTTACCTTTTTCCAGTGCTGGGCGGGGAGCTCTCCTCCTCCTCTCCTCCCCGTCGGCTGAATGCGCACGCGCGGCAAGAGCTGCACGCGCATTCAGCCGGTCGCATAGGAAAGCATTATCAATGCTGTCCTATGGACGCTTGTGTGCTCTCACTGTGAAAATCACAGTGAGAAGCACGCAAGCGCCTCTAGCGGCTGTCAATGGGACAGCCACTAGAGGATTAGGGGGAAGGCTTAACCCATTCATAAACATAGCAGTTTCTCTGAAACTGCCATGTTTATAAAAAAATGGGTTAACCCTAGAAGGACCTGGCACCCAGACCACTTCATTAAGCTGAAGTGGTCTGGGTGCCTAGAGTGGTCCTTTAAGCAATACAAATACCTTTACAACATTTTTGTAGTTTTTCTTGGAGTTTATCCACTAAACACTGAATTAAATATTTAGATAAAAATAATGTAATTGGAAAGATTCCCAAACTCCGCTACAGTCACAATTTTAAGATTTTCCCTATAATATTGTGTAGGAAAACGTGGATTTGATTAAAGACAGGAGGTGAGTATTATGCCCACTCTCATTACTACTCCAAACCGCAGCAATGGAAGAAAACACGAAGTACAACCAAGCATAGAATGCAGGTAACCAATCAGCATGCAGCATACAGGTAACCAATCAGCATGCAGCATAGGTAATGGAAGTCCCAAGCAGGTAACCCAAGTCCTCCGTCAAACTGTGACATCCGAAGATAAATCGGAACTGGAGAAACTTGATAAGGAGAATAGATCTCAGAAGAATTTAAAGAGGAGCAAATTATGGCAAAGTTACCATAGACACATGAGAAACAGGATGGAAAGAGAAGGTTTTAAAAATAGAATCTGTAGAGCAATCCGGCGTTTAGACTGTCAGAACCTCCAGCTTAGAAAGCTCTGGTAGACATAGCTCCTCTAGTGGAATGAGGACCACATTTACTAATGTCAATCCCTACTAGAGACATTACATTGCAAGCCCATTAAATCAGAGTAACTGAGGAAATACGGAGGGGAGATTTACAATAAGAAATAAGCAATTGTGTCTGATCAAGGATGTTTTGGATTCATAGCATTTGAGACATTGGACCACACTCAGATTACGGTTTTCCATAAAATAGGTTTTGGTACATCTGAAAATTTGAAACTGAACCACTTGAGGTGTAAATTGTCTTTGTGAGATGTCCAAGGCTCATCCATCCATAACTCTTTTTAAGGATATCAAACAAAGTAGAATGGTCGGTTTATAAGAATGGAGTTTAAGAGATAACAAATCATTGCTACCTCAAGTAGTTGGAAAATTAAACTAACATACCATGTTTCATTATATCTGGGACGGGGAAGTCTTCCGGGAATATCTATCAGAATCATCTGGATCTGGACGCCAACTGAAGAACCAAGGCAGACGTTGGTTGAAACACAATGCAAAAAGATCAATTTGAAGGGGATCCCAAAAATCAATTTGGAGGGGATTCCAAAGATCAATTTGGAGGGGATTCAAAAGATCAATTTGGAGGGGACCCCAACAAGGTAAGCGTCCTACTTTTGGGCATTGGAGAGTCCTGTAATGTAATGGTGCTGGGAAAATGCTTGAACCAATGAGGTTAAAAGACCCACCATCCAAGCCAATGACCATGGGGAAATCAAATCTTTCCTTAAGAGACTATTGATTTCAATTCTAATGGATTGGAATTTCCAATATGGTAGACTAAGAGAGGCTGATCTGGAGACCACTAGAAAATCCAGAAATGCTATGGTGTGGGTAGGATTGAGAACATACTTGGTACAAATGAGGATAAAGCCTAAGTCTGTAGGTATTAATTCTGTGTGAATGAGTAATTGGTGTACATGTTGGGGCATCATAAGAATATAGTCCAAATATATAGTCTACCTCGCACCTCTGCTCTGAAGCAAGGAGATCATTAGTTTTAATAGTTTGGTGAAACACCAAGAGGCTGAGTAAAGGGAGGCAAACCAATTGCAATTTTTGACTCTGTCATTAAAATTGTATATAATAATGGTGAGATGCATATACTGGTACTGTTTAATAAGCATCCTTCAAACCAATCTTGATCATTCAATCAAATTGGAGAAGATGGTCGCGAAGAAAATGTATCCCTTCTATTTGAAGTGTTGGTATTTTAGAAAAGAATTTAGACTACATAAATTTATTGTTGGTCTGAATCCTGAATCTTTGTTTTTCATCAGGAAACGATTACTGAGCAAACCTGAAATGATGGCTGCTTTTTGAGATAGATTTTTTAACTTCCTTTGATACCAGGGATTGATCGTCTGATGAAGAATTCACAGGTTGAGGGGTTATTAAATGAACTGGAGTTTGGTAGAATTCTATCTGATAACCTGGAATAGTGTTTAAAGAGACATAATAGGCACCCAGATCACTTCAGCTGATTGACATGGTGTGGGTGCAGAGACCATGTCCCCTTAACCCTGCAATAGTAATTATTGCAGTTTCTGTGAGGCTCCAATTAAAGGGACACTCCAGGCACCCAGACCACTTCTGCCCATTGGAGTGGTCTGGGTGCCAACTCCCACTACCCTTAACCCTGCAAGTGTAATTATTGCAGTTTTTCATAAACTGCAATAATTACCTTGCAGAGTTAACTCAACCTCTAGTGGCTGTCTACTACACAGCCACTAGAGCGCACTTCCATGTGTCTAGAACCGATTTTCTGTGCTAGAGCATCGCTGGACGTCCTCACGCTGTGTGAGGACCTCCAGCGTCACTCAATTCCCCATAGGAAAGCATTGAAAAGCATTTTCAATGCTTACCTATGGGTAGCTCTAATGTGTATGCCACGCATGCCATGCATGCGCATTAGGTCTCCCCGGCCGGTGGGCGGGATCAGTCTCGCCCACCGGCCGACGTAATGCAGAGGAGGAGCGGCGGCGGAGGAAGAAGCAGCGACGTGGGACATGTCGCTGCCTCTGGTAAGTGACTGAAGGAGTTATCACCCCGTCAGCAACCGGGGATTGGGAGATGGGAGGGAGAGGGGACCTGCAGTGCCAGGGAAATTGATTGTTTTCCTGGCACTGGAGTTTCCCTTTAACTTGCATTGCTAAGACTGCCTCTAGTGGCTGTTAATCAGACAGCCGCTAGAGGACCTTCCGAGTAGCTGGGCAACTTTTGGTTGCCTAACTGATGCTGGACGGTCTCACGCTGTGCATGAGGACATCCAGCATCAGTCAATTCAGGAGAGCATCGTAGCAACACTTTCATATGGGAAGGGCATAATGTGCTCGAGCATTAGCTTCCAGCGTCCGGTGATGTCAGAGGGGGTGGATGTCCCTCTGCACTGCAGTTATATTAGTAAAGGTTAGGGTAAGAGTAAGGGTTAGTAACAGTAAGGGTATTTTAACCCTTACTGTGGCGGGGGCCGGGTGGGGGGGGAGGGGTGGGTGTGAGGGAGCTATAGTGCTAGGTTTATAACTATAGAATCCCTTAACTACCCAACTGTCTAATTTTAGACCAATTGATCATTGAAATATAGAAAAACTGCCACTATAATGAATACTTATCTCTACCATGGAGCAGCAAAGAAAGTGCATTGGGACTATTACAAATGCTGCTAATTGGTTACCTGTATTCTGCATGTTGATTAGTTACCTGAATTCTGCGCCTGGTTGTCCCTGTTAATTTGTTTAGTGCAGTTAAACTAATTTAACTCTTTCATAGCTGCTGTTAGGAGTAGTAACGAGAATAATAACTGTGGTTACACTGTCTGTCACATTCCGTTTGGGAAGATGCAGCAAATATAAGCTAAATCAGTGCTTGGTTTCCGTATTAGTGATTACTCTGTGGATTTGTTTATGGGATTGTGTTTAATATTTTCCTGTTCTAAAATTAGGCAGCTTTGTCAGGGAGAATCCAATGTAATGTGTAGTCAAGTCTAACGAGCAAATAGATTAAATACAAAATCCTGTTACAGTCTGATTATCTGCTTACAACGTGGTACTCCCGCCAGCGCCAATTTACTCTCATTGTGTTCGGCTGTGTTACACGCTGTACATGAAAAGCTTATTATCTATTCCATGTTTAGTTAAAAAGCAAAATCACCGCACATTGAGTGAACATAGAATAGAAATAACTGATGGAATCAGATCATGCACGGGGCTATCCTGGGGCAAGAGACCTACCGGCTCACAGGGTCACTAGATATTAGCATGCACGGGTCTATCCTGGGGCAAGAAACCTACCGGCTCACAGGGTCACTAGATATTAGCATGCACGGGGCTATTCTGGGGCAAGAAACCTACTGGCTCACAGGGTTACTAGATATTAACATGCACGGGGCTATCCTGGGGCAAGAGACCTACCGGCTCACAGGGTTACTAGATATTAGCATGCACGGGGCTATTCTGGGGCAAGAGACCTACCGGCTCACAGGGTTACTAGATATTAGCATGCACGGGTTTATCCTGGGGCAAGAGACCTACCGGCTCACAGGGTTACTAGATATTAGCATGCACGGGGCTATCCTGGGGCAAGAGTCCTACCGGATCACAGGGTTACTAGATATTAGCATGCACGGGTCTATCCTGGGGCAAGAGACCTACCGGCTCACAGGGTTACTAGATATTAGCATGCACAGAGCTATTCTGGGGCAAGAGACCTACTGGCTCACAGGGTTACTAGATATTAACATGCACAGAGCTATTCTGGGGCAAGAGACCTACCGGCTCACAGGGTTACTAGATATTAGCATGCATTGGACTATTCTGGGGCAAGAGTCCTACCGGCTCCCAGGGTTACTAGATATTAGCATGCATGGGACTATTCTGGGGCAAGAGTCCTACCGGCTCCCAGGGTTACTAGATATTAGCATGCATGGGACTATTCTGGGGCAAAGTTACAAGATATTAGCATGCACAGGGCTATTCTGGGGCAAGAGACCTACCAGCTCACAGGGTTACTAGATATTAGCATGCATGGGACTATTCTGGCTGGGGCAAAGTTACAAGATATTAGCATGCACGGGGCTATTCTGTGGCAAGAGACCTACCGGCTCACTAGATATTAGCATGCATGGGACTATTCTGGGGCAAAGTTACAAGATATTAGCATGCACAGAGCTATTCTGGGGCAAGAGACCTACCGGCTCACAGGGTTACTAGATATTAGCATACATGGGACTATTCTGGGGCAAAGTTACAAGATATTCTGGGGCAAGAGTCCTACTGGATCACAGGGTTACTAGATATTAGCATGCATGGGACTATTCTGGCTGGGGCAAAGTTACAAGATATTAGCATGCACAGGGCTATTCTGGGGCAAGAGACCTACCGGCTCACTAGATATTAGCATGCATGGGACTATTCTGGGGCAAAGTTACAAGATATTAGCATGCACGGGGCTATTCTGGGTCAAGAGAGCTACCGGCTCACAGGGTTACTAGATATTAGCATGCACAGGGCTATTCTGGGTCAAGAGACCTACCGGCTCACAGGGTTACTAGATATTAGCATGCATGGGACTATTCTGGGGCAAAGTTACAAGATATTAGCATGCACGGGGCTATTCTGGGGCAAGAGTTCTACCGGCTCACAGGGTTACTAGATATTAGCATGTACGGGGCTATTCTTGGGCAAGAGACCTACCGGCTCACAGGGTCACTAGATATTAGCATGCACGGGGCTATCCTGGGGCAAGAGACCTACCGGCTCACAGGTTTACTAGATATTAGCATGCACGGGGCTATTCTGGGGCAAGAGACCTACCGGCTCACAGGGTTACTAGATATTAGCATGCACGGGGCTATTCTGGGTCAAGAGACCTACCGGCTCACAGGGTCCATGCATTGGACTATTCTGGGGCAAGAGTCCTACCGGCTCCCAGGGTTACTAGATATTAGCATGCATGGGACTATTCTGGGGCAAGAGTCCTACCGGCTCCCAGGGTTACTAGATATTAGCATGCATGGGACTATTCTGGGGCAAAGTTACAAGATATTAGCATGCACGGGGCTATTCTGGGGCAAGAGACCTACCAGCTCACAGTGTTACTAGATATTAGCATGCATGGGACTATTCTGGGGCAAGAGTCCTACCGGCTCCCAGGGTTACTAGATATTAGCATGCATGGGACTATTCTGGGGCAAAGTTACAAGATATTAGCATGCACGGGGCTATTCTGGGGCAAGAGACCTACCGGCTCACTAGATATTAGCATGCATGGGACTATTCTGGGGCAAAGTTACAAGATATTAGCATGCACGGGGCTATTCTGGGTCAAGAGAGCTACCGGCTCACAGGGTTACTAGATATTAGCATGCACGGGGCTATTCTGGGGCAAGAAACCTACCGGCTCACAGGGTTACTAGATATTAGCATGCACAGGGCTATTCTGGGTCAAGAGACCTACCGGCTCACAGGGTTACTAGATATTAGCATGCACGGGGCTATTCTGGGGCAAGAGACCTACCGGCTCACAGGGTTACTAGATATTAGCATGCACGGGTCTATCCTGGGGCAAGAGACCTACCGGCTCACAGGGTTACTAGATATTAGCATGCACGGGGCTATCCTGGGGCAAGAAACCTACTGGCTCACAGGGTTACTAGATATTAGCATGCACGGGTCTATCCTGGGGCAAGAAACCTACCGGCTCACAGGGTTACTAGATATTAGCATGCACGGGGCTATCCTGGGGCAAGAGTCCTACCGGCTCACAGGGTTACTAGATATTAGCATGCACGGGGCTATCCTGGGGCAAGAGACCTACCGGCTCACAGGGTTACTAGATATTAGCATGCACGGGGCTATACTGGGGCAAGAGACCTACCGGCTCACAGGGTTACTAGATATTAGCATGCACAGGTTTATCCTGGGGCAAGAGACCTACCGGCTCACAGGGTTACTAGATATTAGCATGCACGGGGCTATCCTGGGGCAAGAGTCCTACCGGATCACAGGGTTACTAGATATTAGCATGCACGGGTCTATCCTGGGGCAAGAGACCTACCGGCTCACAGGGTTACTAGATATTAGCATGCACAGAGCTATTCTGGGGCAAGAGACCTACTGGCTCACAGGGTTACTAGATATTAACATGCACAGAGCTATTCTGGGGCAAGAGACCTACCGGCTCACAGGGTTACTAGATATTAGCATGCATTGGACTATTCTGGGGCAAGAGTCCTACCGGCTCCCAGGGTTACTAGATATTAGCATGCATGGGACTATTCTGGGGCAAGAGTCCTACCGGCTCCCAGGGTTACTAGATATTAGCATGCATGGGACTATTCTGGGGCAAAGTTACAAGATATTAGCATGCACAGGGCTATTCTGGGGCAAGAGACCTACCAGCTCACAGTGTTACTAGATATTAGCATGCATGGGACTATTCTGGCTGGGGCAAAGTTACAAGATATTAGCATGCACGGGGCTATTCTGTGGCAAGAGACCTACCGGCTCACTAGATATTAGCATGCATGGGACTATTCTGGGGCAAAGTTACAAGATATTAGCATGCACAGAGCTATTCTGGGGCAAGAGACCTACCGGCTCACAGGGTTACTAGATATTAGCATACATGGGACTATTCTGGGGCAAAGTTACAAGATATTCTGGGGCAAGAGTCCTACTGGCTCACAGGGTTACTAGATATTAGCATGCATGGGACTATTCTGGCTGGGGCAAAGTTACAAGATATTAGCATGCACGGGGCTATTCTGGGTCAAGAGAGCTACCGTCTCACAGGGTTACTAGATATTAGCATGCACAGGGCTATTCTGGGTCAAGAGACCTACCGGCTCACAGGGTTACTAGATATTAGCATGCATGGGACTATTCTGGGGCAAAGTTACAAGATATTAGCATGCACGGGGCTATTCTGGGGCAAGAGTTCTACCGGCTCACAGGGTTACTAGATATTAGCATGCATGGGACTATTCTGGGGCAAAGTTACAAGATATTAGCATGCACGGGGCTATTCTGGGGCAAGAGACCTACCGGCTCACTAGATATTAGCATGCATGGGACTATTCTGGGGCAAAGTTACAAGATATTAGCATGCACGGGCTATTCTGGGGCAAGAGACCCACCGCTCACTAGATATTAGCATGCATGGACTATTCTGGGGCAAAGTTACAAGATATTAGCATGCACGGGTTTATCCTGGGGCAAGAGACCTACCGGCTCACAGGGTTACTAGATATTAGCATGCACGGGGCTATCCTGGGGCAAGAGTCCTACCGGATCACAGGGTTACTAGATATTAGCATGCACGGGTCTATCCTGGGGCAAGAGACCTACCGGCTCACAGGGTTACTAGATATTAGCATGCACGGGGCTATCCTGGGGCAAGAGTCCTACCGGCTCACAGGGTTACTAGATATTAGCATGCACGGGGCTATCCTGGGGCAAGAGACCTACCGGCTCACAGGGTTACTAGATATTAGCATGCACGGGGCTATTCTGGGGCAAGAGACCTACCGGCTCACAGGGTTACTAGATATTAGCATGCACAGGTTTATCCTGGGGCAAGAGACCTACCGGCTCACAGGGTTACTAGATATTAGCATGCACAGAGCTATTCTGGGGCAAGAGACCTACTGGCTCACAGGGTTACTAGATATTAACATGCACAGAGCTATTCTGGGGCAAGAGACCTACCGGCTCACAGGGTTACTAGATATTAGCATGCATGGGACTATTCTGGGGCAAAGTTACAAGATATTAGCATGCACGGGGCTATTCTGGGGCAAGAGACCTACCGGCTCACTAGATATTAGCATGCATGGGACTATTCTGGGGCAAAGTTACAAGATATTAGCATGCACGGGGCTATTCTGGGTCAAGAGAGCTACCGGCTCACAGGGTTACTAGATATTAGCATGCACGGGGCTATTCTGGGGCAAGAAACCTACCGGCTCACAGGGTTACTAGATATTAGCATGCACAGGGCTATTCTGGGTCAAGAGACCTACCGGCTCACAGGGTTACTAGATATTAGCATGCACGGGGCTATTCTGGGGCAAGAGACCTACCGGCTCACAGGGTTACTAGATATTAGCATGCACGGGTCTATCCTGGGGCAAGAGACCTACCGGCTCACAGGGTTACTAGATATTAGCATGCACGGGGCTATCCTGGGGCAAGAAACCTACTGGCTCACAGGGTTACTAGATATTAGCATGCACGGGTCTATCCTGGGGCAAGAAACCTACCGGCTCACAGGGTTACTAGATATTAGCATGCACGGGGCTATCCTGGGGCAAGAGTCCTACCGGCTCACAGGGTTACTAGATATTAGCATGCACGGGGCTATCCTGGGGCAAGAGACCTACCGGCTCACAGGGTTACTAGATATTAGCATGCACGGGGCTATACTGGGGCAAGAGACCTACCGGCTCACAGGGTTACTAGATATTAGCATGCACAGGTTTATCCTGGGGCAAGAGACCTACCGGCTCACAGGGTTACTAGATATTAGCATGCACGGGGCTATCCTGGGGCAAGAGTCCTACCGGATCACAGGGTTACTAGATATTAGCATGCACGGGTCTATCCTGGGGCAAGAGACCTACCGGCTCACAGGGTTACTAGATATTAGCATGCACAGAGCTATTCTGGGGCAAGAGACCTACTGGCTCACAGGGTTACTAGATATTAACATGCACAGAGCTATTCTGGGGCAAGAGACCTACCGGCTCACAGGGTTACTAGATATTAGCATGCATTGGACTATTCTGGGGCAAGAGTCCTACCGGCTCCCAGGGTTACTAGATATTAGCATGCATGGGACTATTCTGGGGCAAGAGTCCTACCGGCTCCCAGGGTTACTAGATATTAGCATGCATGGGACTATTCTGGGGCAAAGTTACAAGATATTAGCATGCACGGGGCTAT